TCAGAGAGGCACAACTGGGAATAAAGCATCGATAATAACTTACCAAGTGCGCAGAGATTTCACCGTTTGTGGCCGTGAAAGTTCGGTATCGCCTCAACTTTACTAGCCAGTGGGCGAATGCCCTTGCAGCCAATAGTGTGACCCAGAAAGTCGAGTGAGTCAACGCCCATTTGACACTTGAATATTAATGGTAACACCATGTTGGCGTAACCTGTCAAATGCCAAGTCCAAGTGCCTAAGGTGAGTTTCCTTGTCTGGACTGGCAATGAGGCAGTCGTCCAAGTATGCGTATACAAAGTCGAGACCACGAAATACGTCATAAATGAAGCGTTGGAATGTTTGGGCTGCATTCCGGAGACCGAATGGCATACGTAGAAATTCAAAAGGCCCGAAAGGCGTAATGATAGCCATTATTAGAATATCTTCTGTTGCCATCAGGATTTGCTTATACGCTTTAACCAGGTAGACTATAGAGAATATGGCTGCGCCAGGTAATGTTGCCGTCAAGTTGTGCATATGAGGCAATGGGTAGCGATCAGAGGTTGTTTTGGCGTTCACTCGCCGGTAATCACCAGTGGGTCAGCAACTGTTGCGGTACCACATGCAGTGGGGATGACCATGGGCTATTCGAAGGTCGAATGATGCCAAGGGTGAGCATATGATCGAAATCATTCCTAGGGATTCTCAGTTTGTAAGGAGCCAGTCTTCGTGCTTTAGATGTCACGGACTGTCCTGAGATTATGATGTGGTGCATAGCATTGCTGGTTATGCGCGGTAGGTCGTTAGACGGGCAATTAAGTTCCGGATATTTATCAACGATAGGTTCAAAAGTTGGATCATGTATTGCTTTCATCTTAACGAGTGACAGGCCGGGGCCTATGTAGGTGATGCCTTCGATAGACAGACCAGTAGTATTGTCAGTCAGTCGTGTTCGGTGGACATCTACGAGTAAGTCATGATGATTAAGTAGATCCGCGCCAGTGATGGGCATTGTGACGTCGGCGAGAAGGAAAATCCACTGAATAGGTTTGTGAAAACCTACGTTCAGATAAACGTATTTCCTACTAAAGGTTGCGATTGGTTTTCCATTTGCAGCCTGTAAGTTGAAGGTAGGCTCCTTCTGTCAATTTGCTGCTATAGCAGGATGGACGCTGCCTTCGGCTCCTGTGCCTATTAAATATCGAGTCTGGCTGACCACATCATGGATGTAAAGTAGGCGGCTAGAGCCACCGGGGTAGTTTCCGACTGTCTTTAAGACATTCCCGAAACTACAAAGTTTACGGTAACATTTAGCTTCCGTAGGTGTTGTGGTACCAGCACCAGTCAGGGTTCTTCAGTGAACGTGGATTGAACTAAGATCGACCACATGAGTTTCGCTGTTGATTGGACTTCGGAGGACAGCAGGAGGAACTGCAAAGCGTGTTTGATTTAAGCATCTCCTGGATGGAGTTTCATAACTCTATCTGTGAATGTAGTTGAAGATTGAAAGATCAATTCATGGTTGTTTGCTCAAACCCGACTCCTCCATATTTTTCGCGGAAGTCATCAATCCAGCAGTCATCGTCTCATCGTTCGCCGTTCAGTGGAAGACAGAAAACTATCAGAAGTATTATCGTGATTTTTTGTTATAACATTCATTCTTAAACCTTGTGTGTAATAACCTTATTGTTGGTTACATATTGGCGTAAGAATAAAGGATTCTCGAGTCGCCAATCAGTGTTCTGGATTTTGCGTTGGTTAATACAAAGCGTTTCTGAAAGTCTTCGAGGGACAGCGTGAGGTCCAGTGTAGCGAGAACTGGACACTGATAGTTTGTGAGAGTTGGCTGACAATGTCTGATGGTGTTTAATGGTTTTGTGCGTCTTTCCTGGTGCCTGCAAGTCGGCTTAAACAGTGAGAGTCAGCATGCAATGTTCAGTGATGATGGCTGTGGCCAAAAAGTTTGGCGTATTATCTACCGCTAAAACCTGTTTCTTTTCCATGCAGTGTTCCGTTTGATCTAAATGAATTGCAATAGTCTCTGCTATTCGGAGTATGTTCTAAGCGGTCGATATCTATTGACCTTTGATAGTTTATTCGATACTCAACAGGTGATACAGAGAGAGTGTTCATTAACTATATTTGTGGCTGGTCAATGGTTTGAACAATAAATTTATTTTAGCCAAATTCAACTGGAATCCCATTCACTTCATGGTATACCACAGGTACGATACAGAAATACGGAACTGGCTAAGCTGTGATTCACAGAAGTAGCACAACTGTCATTATAAAAGAATTGATTTAGCTTATGCTAGATTGTGAAATTAATAATAATGCGTCGGTCGGCGCACTTCTTTACCTCACTGAGCCAGAAATAATCCTGGTAAAGAGGAAAGGTTGGACATGAGGCTAGCAACCCCATCCTGTAAAAATTAAACACTCCTACGGAAACTTCAAGCAACTAGCTTGGAGCCCTATGTTCCACTGGGAACGTGAAGGAAATAAAAAAAAAGATTGTGAAATGCTATCAACAGTTATATCAAGCACTGAACATTGCACTAGTTGAGGCGCTAATTATTTCTGATGCGTTACTAATCGAGTTTGTTCATCTCAGGTAGGCTGGAGGTAGTCGCATTACTAATTATGTTATATAAAGGCAGTCTATGTAAGGATGAAGCAAAAATATCCTAAAACTTATTTCAGATCTGTTCATGGAAGGCTCAATTATAATGCTGCCTGATAGAAGTACTAACCAAGTGACTTTTAACAGCATAGTAGTCTTGTCGATAGAAAGCTCCAAAGAGGGCGAATTAATTGAGACAAAATAATTACACAGGATGTCAATGGCGTGCAAGGACTGATAGCATCCCCTGGTCCGTCACTGGGATTCCTAGCGAAAGTCCAAATCGCTTTTTTCACATATCAGATTTATTGGTTGAGGATAGGAGGCTTGGAGCCTATGTTAATCCTTTTCTAGTATATTTCTGTGATTGTTCAAATCCTTCTTGAACGAATCAGTTGAGGTTGCAGACACCACTTCTCTGGGAGTCGGTTCCAAGAGTTTATGACTCGGTGTGAGAGCCAGTACTCAACAGCAATATGATTTCTTCTTGGCTTTGGAACTCTCCTGCTACGTCCTCTAAGGTGTTCTGACCTGGTGGGGAGGAAAAGGGAGAATAGGTCAGGTCCCTCTGTTGAGTACTGGTTCTCACACCGAGTCATAAACTCTTGGAACCGACTCCCAGAAGAAGTGGTGTCTGCAACCTCAATTGATTCGTTCAAGAAGGATTTGAACAACCACAGAAATATACTAGAAAAGGATTAACATAGGCTCCAAGCCTCCTATCATCAACCAACAAATCTGAAATGTGAAAAAGAGCGATTTGGACATTTTTAAGATTAATTCATTTTGGATAATAAGTAGTGTCCATTTGGTAAAGACATTCTCATGAAGGTATGTTCACATTTGAACGAGGAAATCGTATTATTCACTTTCATAGTTCACTTAAGTGATTTCAGTATTGAAGATTGAAATATGTAATGTCTCTAATCGGCGTAATTTCAGGGCCTTCGTTTTTAAAGTATGAAAATTTCCATTCCATATAATAAAGAACACATGAGTCAGCAAAGAGGCCTCTTTTCGTAACTCCACTTCAAAGCTAAACAGTTATTTAGAGTGTGTTGATATATGCAATGTAGACTGACAACAGATGTCAAAGGTTATCTATAGTTAGTAACAAAGCAAATCAAAGTGCATGAATAGTAACTATGTCTAAAAGATTAATAATAATCTTACACAATCAAGAGGGTTGACAACTAATTACTTATTTGATGAATAATCATTTGAGAATAATTGATAAGAAACAGGAGAATGAAGTGTTGCAAATGACTTTCAAAAACATAAAACGAAATGCATTGAGCTTATTATACAGTTATTCAGGAAGATAAAGAAGGGAGAAGAAAGTTTTTCAAATCTCTTCATTATCTCAATTCCCATTGTAACATATAGAAAATCAAAACAGGTGATTCAGCGTAGAGACTCAACGAATTTATCATCAAGCTATACAATCGTATATAGATGGTTTTTAAGAAGTTATATCAGGTGAGGGAATTGAATCATAGGTGTGAATGCATAAAATAATAATAGTGTGAAATGCAATTAAAAAACTAAAATGTTTGTGATTATTCTCATAGTTAAATGTCAAGTGGCAAAGCAAATTAATGTCGTTTATAGAATAATTAATCGGATGGATAGAACTTGAAAAAGAGTGTGCAATTATAGGATTAGTAGACAAATCGAATAAAATAAAAAGTTACGTAATATTGTGAGAAATTCGATAGCATAGAATTTAACGTTGTAAAAAAGAATTGATTTAGAATGGCAAGTGGAACAAGTGAAATAATACCGGGGACAGTTCAAAGTGAGAGTAGTAATTGTAATAATTGACGTAATAAGGAAGAGTACAAAAATTGAATAGATAAAATGAAAAACTGAAAAATTGGTAGAGCTAAAATATGGTTAGGTATTACCATACATTAGCAGAGAGGGATTAAGACCATGAAAGTTGGAGGGGTTGAACGAACTTTTTCTGTACACAGAGATCTAGCTTTTCTGTTTCGATAGCCAAAGCTTCAGCAATACAGGTGAGTCGGTTACGTAGGTATTTGGGTGAATTACTCTTTGCCTTGTGGATGACTTTAAAGGTGAAGGCTATAGAGATAGAGTGATCATTATCGACCAGATGTTAAATGATCGTGCTTCTTATTGCTTCACCTCAAGCTTTTCGTAACCATGCAGGGTAGTGTTCTTGCACTGGAGTTGCTTCGAGAGCTATACAGTGCTGTAAGTTCATGCCCCCTAACCAAGGATACTCTGAGGCGATGTGTATCCTGCGTCAAAGATTCGGAAGAACTTCGATGATTGTAAGGAACGTATTCGAGGCTGTTAAGGGTAATGGTAGTCAATGAGCTTTGTCAGCAACCATTACCAGTACTCCCTGGTTTTCAATGGTTCTCTAAGTGATATCAATCCGTGATCAACTCGTAAAAACATAGCTAACCCTTACAAACCAAACTATAGAAAATTACCAAAATTATTATGGAAAAGCACATGGTTTTCAAAGTTTCATTCTGTCTAGAACTTCATCTAGTCATCATTGTTCAGGGATAAATACTGTGGTTCATTGAATCGGCGAACTACGGTTTCTCATTTAACCACTGGAGCTGAAGTAGCTTAACATTACATTAGCGCCTCACACTGTGAATGTATAACCGTTGGATTAATAGAAGTATGTCTGTCTTATAACACTTAATAATTTTGTGTGTTGATAACATTTCTCTGGGGGCTCACTAAGTACCGTGTCTTTGTGCTTATTTGTCACTTGCATTTATGGATCTAATACTGCTAGAACGAACTTGTCAACGTGACGTCAAAGTTTTATAGGGCAACTGTTTAGCTGCTACATGTAACCGAAATTGAGGAGCAGTGTAATGTTGAAAAATTCTGCCCGCGTAATTTTGTCAAACACCACAAAACATAAAGTCATTTTTGAATACGTTTTTAGGTAGTTAAACGGAATGGAAGTGGATAGTAACGCTGACGCAAATAATGTAACTTCCGGACCAGGATCTGTATCAGTACTCCTGCATCCACTTGTTATTCTAAATATTTCGGAGCATTGGACGCGTAACAAAGTGAAGGAAAATTCAACTGCTGTTACAGTCTATGGAGCTTTGCTTGGTAAACAAGAAAGTCACCATATTGAAGTATGAAAGCCTTTATAACTAGGAGAATTTATTATCTTACAGATTTCTAATTCATTTGAGTTACTACTAGATGAGCCCCATCTAACCGTCAACTCTGAATTTTATACTACTCGAGAATCCCAATGTAAGCAAGTTTATCCGGATCTAGATATAGTTGGATGGTATACTACTGGTGGACCTATCGATGAAAAAGATGAAATGCTCAACAGACAAGTATGTTTCAGCTAGATTATGATATAGTCTCTCTTTAGATGCAAGAACTTAATGAGTCACTCCTCATATTAAAATTAGATCCCCTTCAAACATGTGGAGAGAATCTACCTATCCGGGTATATGAATCAGTGGTGGACAATGATGGGAGAGTTCACTTTAGACAGGTATAGATAATTTTTATGGAAAGTATTTTTAGAGCCATTTTTAAATTGTATGAACTTTTATTTCAACATATGTCTGTAACCTCAAGAAGTTTCCCTTGAGATTTTCAATCTTTCTTGTGCTTGGCAAATCCTCTTGACTGTGTATAAAGTTGAGTTAAGATACTCGTCACTTAATGACTCTAAGGCCAACACACAGCGTAGACAGTGGTCACCAATCTGAAGCTCTTACAGCACTTTAGTCATATGAGTGATGCAGTTCTCGGTAGACATGACATGTAGCTTGAGATATAATTTAGTGTTATATTGTCGCATTGGTTGGGTTCATTTTCACTATTGCTCCTCCGCTATGTTCTTATAATACATTCGTTCAGAAGTGTCTAAACTGTGGTACTAGAGAGATTTCCGACTACTTGTCAAAAGAAAACATTTTCAGCAAATTCCATATTTTACTACATAGATGTAAGACAAGGGAAAATAAAAAACATGGGAAAATCACAAGTTCCGACTGTAGACGTCGTAGTATTGCTGTCAGGCAGCGAAATGTCGACATTTTAAAGATTTAAATAACACTTATAATCTATCTCAATGTTCCTAGCTCTATTCACTAATAGTTAATTACCTTCCACCTTCTTGTTTTTTGCTACGGCATTAGTGCAACCTCGTCATTCGATTCAAGATTTTACACACCAAGCTAAGAAGTACACTCAGTGAGATATGAGAGTTTATAAGTCTTATTTTGTTACGCGAACCTTAGTGACTTAAAAGTGTTCCAGTTAGTCAGTGTATCTTATCCTCATAAATATAACATACAATATCGTCCTCAATCTGTTTATTTCCTTATTTTGTATTATCGCAGATTGTGACAACTTGCAATAATGCATTTCTGTTCATTCTGTCTGTTAAGCAATATTTGTTTGGTCATATATTATTCTTTTGTGTATTTGTGGAAATTTAGTTTCAGTGGTTTAAGGAGTGTGCGACGGCGTTTATAAATGTAGGCTAAAAATGAAAGCGTTGTCGTGTTATATGGCTTTGAACATTGTCCTATAATTCTAAGAGATCTCCTCCTCTTCTCCCTTTTTTCTCTTGCCACTGTAACTTTCTATCCCTTTATTAGTGCCTAAATCTTCTCATACTACTTCAAGAGACAATTCTCGTTCATATTGCATTGTGTGTAGCCAAAGAGCCCATTCATATGCGAATCATTTTCTGTATTTTCTTATTAGATGAAAGGGAGAATATTAAAATCTAATTCACTGAAGTGCATTCATTCTTTTCTTTGTTAGAACTGTGGTAACCACTTTGATCACTCAATGCGTGGTGTTGGGAACCGCAGGCTTAAATCCTGCCTCCTTGTTGAGACATGAGGGTAGTCAAATATCACACTGTCACATGAGTGGAACAGTTAGCCTTATGAAAGACACATTTAGTTTTTAAACAACATTGTTATCACTTTTAGTAGGTGTTGACAAATGTAAAGTATTCAAAATAATGATCAGTAATTGGTGTTATATACTTCCTTGAAAAGAAGTATTTGTGAAGCTCTTAGAAACAATATGCATAGTTCTGTGTTATCAAGCGTCGTATTGTAACAAAAGAAGACAAGGGCCAGGGAACAGATCGTTCATTAAGGAAATCAACACTTATTTATATATTTTTATGTACATTATTATATCCAGGCAGCCATAGATACAGCTGTAAAAGCTGTGAATAAGGTAAACCCAAAGGTGAGTAAAAACCACTGGATCTCCACCGCCTCATCCGAACTGATAGATGCTAGAAGACTTATTCCGGCGAGCTCCGAATTCAATGAGGAGCGAAAGCTGCACAAGAGGAAACTTACGAAAAGTCTCCGCAAGGACCGTGAACAGTGGTGGGCGACAAAAGCCAAAGAGATGGAGAAAGCTTTGAGGATAGGCAACACCAGGCAACTCTTTGGACTCATCAGGGAAACGGGTGGGAGAAGACAAATCATTAGTGAGACAATCTCGGAAAAAAATGGCACTATAATTAGCTCACAGGATAGACGACTGGATCGTTGGAAAGAGCATTATGAGGAGCAGTTTAATTTGCCCACAGCCACGCTCAACCTTCCGAGCATCCAACACCTCCCTGAATGGGATATAGACACAGGTCCTCCGTCACTAACTGAGGTTACTAAAGCTGTCACCAATCTGAAACTAGGCAAAGCAGCGGGACCTGATGGAATGACGCCAGAGGTATTTAAGTACGGTGGAGACAGCTTACTGTCCGGATTAACTGAGGTACTAGGCAGCGTCTGGGAATCAGAAGAAGTCCCATCGGGTTGGTGTAAGTCACTGATTATCCCCATATACAAGAAGGGAGACAAGTCTTCCTGTGATAATCACAGAGGGATTAGCTTGACTAATATAGTATCTAAAGTCTTAGGCTCAATAATCATGCGTAGACTGAGTGGTGCTCGGGAAGCACAAACACGAGAGAGCCAGGCAGGCTTTAGACCAGGAAGAGGGTGTATTGATCATATCTTCACCCTCCGACAGATTCTAGAACATAGGCATTCCTACCGGCGTCCAACAGTCATTATATTTCTTGACCTAAAGGCAGCATTCGACTCTGTCGATCGGGAAGTTCTCTGGAGATGCTTGGCTGTAAAGGGAATTCCAAGAAAATATATTGCACTGATTAAGGCACTCTATTCGTACTCATACAGCCAGGTGAGGGCTTACGGCGAGCTGTCATCTGAACTGATGACGACCAGTGGTGTCCGTCAAGGATGCCCATTATCTCCTTTTCTATTCAACTTCATCATAGATGTGTTAATGGACTTAACCCTAGGTGACTTCAGTGACTCAGGAATTGACTTGCTACCGGGAATAATCTCGTTGACTTGGAATATGCAGACGATATAGTCCTTCTAGGCGAAGACGCTGACGAAATGCAGAGTCTTCTAAACACCTTGAGCCGCAATCTACGAATGTTTGGCATGCGATTCGCTCCCGCCAAATGCAAGATGATGTTACAGGACTGGACTACATCGACGCCTAGTTTAAAAATAGGAAGTGAAGTGGTAGAGCACGTTGACCGCTTCACTTATTTGGGAAGTACCATCAGCCCCAACGGGCTGATCTCTGACGAAATCTCAGCACGAATACAAGGGGCTCGTTTCGCATTTGTTAGTTTACGCCGACTCTGGCGTAGACGAGATGTTCGACTATCGACCAAAGGGCGGGTGTACTGCTCATCAGTCCGCTCCGTCCTCCTTTATGGTTGTGAGACCTGGCCACTGAGAGTGGAAGACATGAAAAGACTAGCTGTCTTTGATCATAGGTGCCTGCGTTCTATTTCCCGTGTAAAGTGGCATAATAAGGTGAGCAACATGGAGGTTAGGCGTAGAGTTCTAGGTAAACAGGGGAAATCAATCGACGAAGTCGTGAAGCTACAAAGACTGAGATGGTTAGGACATGTGTTACGTATGCCAAGCCATCGCCTCCCTCGACGAGCAATGTTAGCGGATATAGGGTCAGGCTGGAAAAAAGCTAGCGGCGGTCAAACAAAAACTTGGCATCAGTCAATGAAATCCACAACAGTTGGTCTAAGCCACGTAGAAAGGTGTAGACTTCCAGGCTGGGGTCCTCGGGACGGTAAAAATCTATGGTTGGAAACAATTGGTGACATGGCTCAAAATCGTTCTCAGTGGCGCAGATGCATCCACTCCCTGTGACTTATGATCTTCAATGAAACTGTTTTGTATTTCTTTATTACTCCTTTGTCTCACACCTCTGCTCACTGTTTCTATTATGCTTTTCTTGTACTTTCTTCTCTTGCTTCGCGTGCTACACGGAATGTGGCGACTTGAACTTCCGCACATTTGTGCAAAGTTCTATGTCGAAAACAGACAGACAGACATTATTATAGATTATTCAAGCAAACAAACACAGTCTTCTGATTGTTTATTTCTCACAGAAAGTTGACCTTGCATCTCTTTGTGACAATGTCAGATCATCTATATGTTAACTGTATCCGCCTTCGCAAAGTCTGCTGTGATTGGTTGTTGAATCAGTCCTTGTTCATACTTTCTCACGATCAATATTGAGGACGTAAACATTGATGTATATTACTGTCAACCAATTTGGCTAGCAGGCAGCTCCCACTACAGAATGACAGTTTGTTTTGTTGTGTCTAATCCATTTTAAATGTGATGCTCAGGTTTGTGTTTACCTTAACAGCATTTTCCCATATCTAATTGATCCCACCAGATAGCGGGTTTGATCCGTTACTTGTCTACCGAGATTAATACAGTCAATTAGTTCCATGTAGCTCATTGTCTAATGCATGCTGATGTGTGCGCTTATGCATTTGTTAGAAATAATTATTTAAAAACTGATGATAAACATGATAACAGGTTTTTGTTAAAGTTGTTATAATGACGTGTATTCATAATTTCAGGTATTGTATACTTTGGCAACTGATGAAGCAGAACGTATTGGTGTAGACCATGTTGCACGTATTTCAATGTCATCCACTGGTCAAGCATCGTCTATGGTAAGTATACATCATTCCATATGTAGTTAATATTTGGGGAATTAATATTTACTTTTAGCCTTCTCATTAAAACTTGAATTCTATGTATTAGGAACGATACTTAGCTTAAGGCTTATCTGCTTCTTTTCAGAGTGAATTAAAGTTGGCCATTCACCTTAAGAGTCTTTCTTCGTAAAGTGGACATTTTGATTGGTGATAATGTAGTTTATGTAATAGTTTTATACTGGAGAAATAAAATTTCATTTTAGTTCCACATGCTTGTTAATGTGCCTGATGATGAATCACATGTATTGTGTGAAGGTAAGTTGTACTAGCAGGCTGTCGAAGCCGAAATGGGTTGAGTTCGAAATTCGAGTACATAGTCCAATATGAAACGATAATGTATGAATGATGTTATTTCGGATTTCAAGTCTCTGTTTAACATTGTTACCTTATTCACTCTGTGTAGACTTACTGAGGTGTTAGGTATGCATATCCCTTTTATTTTTGTATGTTGAATCGTTGTGATATAAGAAGTTAAGTGGATAATATATAAGACTTGTCGTGATTATTATATACTTTCAGAGCATGGAACTATTTGTATTTGTCTAAACTTATTAATTTTAACTCCAATATTTTCATTATATTGTGAAATATATCCATGTACATATTTTCATTTTAGACCGCTGAACATCTTCTAGGAAACTATCAAGCTATTCAAATGTTAAGCAGTCGCTTGCAATTAATTAGAGTCTATGTGGCTGCAGTAGCAGCAGGAGAATTACCACAGAATAGAGCAAGACTGAGAGAAATTAATGCTTTAGTCAAACGAATACCACTTATGCGTTCAACTTCATCTACTGAACAAAATGATCACTTATATCGTCAAGCCAATGATGTTTGTCTAACAGCATTACTCGCAAGTATAACCCAAGGGCTACATACGCTTTATGGATGTATGTCTAAGACAGCGCATGTTGTAGACCGTCGAGCTATAATGTTAAATGTACCAAGTGCAGCTATCAGTTCATGTTCAAGTCGTCTTGCCAAAGCTACGCATTTAATAGGAAATTCTAACTAGAAAGAAGAGGAAAATATTCAACACATGACTGGTATTAATAGAGTGATTAACCTGTACATGATCATTTCAAGTTTTTTTTATTGATTCACAATACTAAGATATCGCTTATATTAAATTGTACTTTTTCTTGTGCCTCCATTTCTATATAATCATATTACATGATGAAAGGATTTCTTCACTTTTTCCATCACTAAAACAAGTTAACATTGTTGCTGTCAACTGCAGGCTTCACTAATTATTTTAAAAGAAATTTTATTACTAGGCGTTTTTCTTTAAGGAATGAATACGTGAAAGATCGACACTATTTCTAAACTTCTTTTTCTAGTATATGTTTGATATTTTTATTATCGCATCGAATTTATCCTCTTTTGGGATATTCTTTCGATGTTATTTATTGAGTTACATTTCAAGCACGATTGTTTTTTTTTAAACCCATAATCACATCAAGGCAGACGACTGTTGGCATACACTTTAAATTGGTGAAAAATGAACACTTTTAAGCATAGTAAAATCCCTTCTTATTTGTACTGGTATTATTCATTTAGGTAGATGAACACATCTGTGACAGTCAGAATCACTTTACATGAAACAATACCGGTGGATACACATCACCCAAATGCAGGCTAACGTTTCGGCATCCATCTTGATTTTTCTCAGAGTATTTCCTGATTTCTATCCGTTTAAAAAGCAGTTTGATCATTATGACACCTTAGTGCTACAATCCTTCCAGTTAATGGAAGTGTATACTCGCATCAACCAGACTTGCAACGAGATGAAAATAGGTGATTTGAGTAGGGATAAGATGCAGGCTTAATAGTTGTTGTAGCGTTGAAAACGCTTTCTGTTTCTTTTTTAGGATGTATTAAAATTTAAATAAAAACTTGGTTAACACATGATGTTTTTTTCCAGGAATAAAAAAGATGCAAATTATTTTTAAGACGGATGTGTCATATCACTACAGTAATAATTGAGAAACAGTGCTTGGTATTTCTGAAAGACAAATTCTAGATTTGCAGGCAAGAATAAAATATACTGATAAAAGTAGTCGATATTTCCACTCCTCAAAACTACCTGTTTTGGAGAAGAAAAGAAACATTCAAAAACAACTCAGTTATTAATTAAAAATAATTGGCTTTAAAATGTTCAGAAATAAAGCAGAAACTGTAGATTCTCATTTTTATCAGTAAAGCTTTTAAATTAAAGTATCTCAAGTATATCGCCGTGATGTGCGTCGGTAGCACAATAGTAGAATACTAGCCAACCACGCATTTGGTTCGGAGTTCGATTCCCGGCCAACGCACTCTTTTACCCCGCTATGTCAGTAATAAGAGTGGTAAAGAGAGGTTAGGCATGAGGCTAGCAACCTCATCCCGTAAAAATAAACGCCACTACTGCTCTATGTTACACTGAGAACGTAAAGGAATGACAAAACAGATGTGTCGCCATGAGTATAAGTACAGCAAAAATATGACATCTTCATAGGTACCTGAACGTAAGTAATATAAATTTCAGTATTCCTATTCTTATAATTAAAGCGCACGTGCTTTCGGTAACTTCTCAACAGATTATAAAATTATGCGTTGAAGTTATTCAGCCTAGTTTTAATGTGTGTTAACCAATTACGTAAACACGTATTTGCTTAAGCCCTTTTCTGTTATCAACTTCATCGAAGTTTTAAAAAAAAACATGAAAGGCATAATGTTTTTCACTCAATAAAGTATTCGTTGTGGTGTTCAGTGAATTTCGTCGTCTTTATCCAGCTTGAAACAATTGCTCTTAAAATCCAATTGGAACAACGTAGGAATGCATTTTTATACAGACTTACCAACGTTTACGCTTTAAAGTTAACATTTTAAAACGGGTGTAATGCATTGTTTCCTATTCAATGATGCAAGTGAGTAAGGCGTTTCTTAACTAGGTGTGCAATACAAAAGGTTGTAAATTCTTTGTATATGGCCAAATGAATGTAAGTTCAGTTTCATTTTAAATTAAATTATCCATGTCGCTTACGTCTATGACTTTATTTATTACAAAGATGGTCTTGTGTGTAGACACCTCTGACTCCTTCACAACTTAATCCACCTACTACTCTTGAGAAAGAAACTCAATGGCTTCACATGTCAGGACCATTTCAATCAACACAATTTCAACGATTCATTTCCCCTAATTACCTAACACTCTCAGGCTACTACCGATCACGTTATAAGTATAACACGAGAAAGTGAACTCAGACACATAGTCAAAGATGATTAGCTCCCTCATATCTCCCATGTCTAACAACCGCGAAGAAGATGGGTGCAAACTGCTACACAGTACAAATGTCCTTCGATGAATAGCTGGATATCACGCCTACATCAAAGGTGACACAAGTAAGCAGATGACAGACAAACCATTTGTATTCATGCTAAGACCTCGTCAGAAATCACTCTATTATGACTGGTGCGACTTCCAAATGAGTGAAGTGCTCAACACATTCAACTATTTCACTACCTATACGCGAACTAGGAATCAGTGTGGACCAATCATGCTGTGTCATCTTACATTTAACAGGAGTGAATCGCATATCAAACACGCTGAGATTTCGGTGCAAGGTTCTCTGAGGATTCTGCATTTTGTCAGCGTATTCTTCTAGTAGGACTACATCATTCGCATTCTCTAGATCAACAAAGCATTTCTGTAGTAACAGGTCGGTCGATGAAACGTTGGAGTCTGTCGAAGTGATCTCTGTTGGCACATAAACGATGTGAAATTAAGAATGGTGACAATCTCCACTGTCTACAAGCTCTTATGCGACTGCATTAATTCGTGTAGAGTGTCCTGATCAGTACAGTGTACTTTTTACAGAACTCTTACCGCTACTAGACACCGATGGAATACTTTTCGATCCACAGAGTCAAATACTATCTTGAAGACATTGCAATGAAACGTGACCTGTGTTCAAAACGAACACGTCATGAGACCTTCAGTTGCCCTGATAACTCTCCCGAGTAATTACGTGTCTTCTGACTTCATAACTTCCCCCCCCACCCATTTTTCACTTGATTTGCATGTCGTAGCAAGTTTCTGATCCTTTGATTTCGACTCACTGTATTGCATCATAATCATCTCGTTCGACACCATACGTACCGAGTTTTATCTCCGAATCTAACGAGTTCTAGTCGCTTTATTTCAGTATCTTGGATTACGCAATTATCACCACCCTAACAACAGTTTTGGTCATGTTTACGTGAAACTTCGCTCTTATAATAAATAAATGTAAGATAGTTTCATTATCCTCATATTTTGTTTCACTATGACTTTCTGGCAACAATCCCTGCTGGAGGAGTGATTCACGATAGATAAAATGTATGTTATAATTGAGTTAGAACCTGTTTTATTAAATGTCATAGGTTGTGCGCAGTCGACGAAATAAAATTGACCAGTAGCATTCTGCATCAATATTCTATATCTGTTCAAATTCATAAAGGGGAATTCTTGTATGGAATATTATTATGGTTGCCCAACTTTTCTAACTCCTTCGCAGAGTTAAGAGGTGATATAAACCGTCTTGCTAGTTGCTTGTGGGGAAGGTATTAATTCTCTACAACATCCTTCTCGAACCTTTACTATAAGGCAAGTAATTCACCTTATCTTAGTAACTCACTTTAGTCTAATCATTATCCAACCGACTTTACTGAAAAGGGTAGAACCTGCAGGAACATTTGCACTAGTCAGTGTTGCTGTCCTGTTGGTGGTAGTCATAGCCGCTTTTTATGGTACACATGAATAAAACATCGTTTGACTTACTCTACCCAGTATATATTTTAGGTTGTCAACCTTATTTGTCAAATTCTTCTTGTTCTACTTCTTCAGTGTTTCTATTTGGAAAATTTTCATCATTATGATTATTAGGATATTTACTCATTGTGATCCTCGTTGTGTACTGGGTAACTTTCATCAGTTTGCTTATTGGATATAAGTTGGTCATCGTATAAATGTCGATAATCTCCTAAAATTCCTATTCTAACTTTAATCATCTACCAATGGATTTGATCATTTCTTACCTCTCAATTCCTTCATCTGAGTGGATTTCAGTTAAATCTTGTGCTCTTCAAGAAAAAAGTATTACTGATTAACGAAAACTATAATATTTGGTTTACTTTCTTTGGTTTTTGCTAGTTTCATCTGAATGGATCTTAGAGGTGTCATCTAGTAAAAGCCTCAAAGCAGGTGAACATTTGCTTCGAAAGTAAAGTTTTCTATAAACAAAAGATTATTGGTCATACTTGAGCATTGATGCACGAGGCAAATGTGTTTCATAAATTTTGTTGGTACCTTTACCATCAGTTTCTTTAAGTCCGAAAAAAGAGGCTCCTTGTCGTCCGAGTGAGTTAAACATTTCTGATCTTGTGAACCTGTTGAAGAAATGTGAAATTATTCGATTTCAACATGAAAGGCAAAGTATGCAACTATGAGAACTAAAACTCAATACCACACCTGATAAAACATACATGTATTATCGATTTACGTGGTCTTGTAGTTTCAAACAACTTATAGTATTTATATCATTCATTCTTCGGACGTCATTCATTAGTAACTATGAATACTTCATGCCTCTAATATCTTCTATAAGTTCATTTCTTCCTTCCTACTAGGTTATACTCTCTCTATAATACTCTCACTTTATTGGGTTCAACTTCATCAGTGAATAATATTATCTTTAATACGGGTGTAAATCATCTTAATACACAAACAAAAGTGGTCTTTGAAATACCTACATACTGTAGGATCATTTTCATCACAGTCTTTATTTCAACACAAATGTGTGGCATTTCGATTTTCCACTCTTCAAAAAAAGCACGAATAAAAAAGTGTGAAGAAATAGAATCGTACTACAATAAACGGATGTGTGTATAAGATAATGCATAATTCCATGAATAACATAATGCTTAAAATTCCAAAGACAGTAGCGTTGCACGATTTTGGGACATTTTACCAAGATTATGTGACTACACAATCAA